CCCACCCCACCCCCGCCTAAGAGCTTAGCTTTCAATACTTAAGTGTCACTCCTCCTCAAGATGCTTCCCCTACTCTGGTCTGAATTTCTTATCTCCACCCACCCACCTGGTCAGCCCTTGGAATTTCCAGATCTTATTTTAATGGAAACCTTTCTGTGGGAAAGCATTGCTTTCTTAAACAATATGGATTGCTTTAACTCCAGCAGGCTTAGCTATAAAGTGTGGAAGGAAGTTGGCAGAAAGCCAGAGAGGAACTTGAGGAAGCTAGAAACAAGTCAGGGTCAGAGGACCTAACACAGCTGGTCTCCCTGGATGGAGGGAGGTGGGAGGGGGTGGGAGGTTAGAGGAGAAGGCAAGGGCCTGGGAGAGAGAATTACACACATGGGCTCATCAGAGGTGCCGTCAGCGTTCAACAGGGTGAGGAGTTATGTCCCCAGAGCTCCAGGCTTAAGAAACGACCTTCAACACCAAAGGGAGTTTCAAGGACTAAGCAGAGGCAAGGGTCCAGGGTAGGGTCCTGGTTAGCCAATTCCCTTGTGCTTGCTTCGGCAGCACGTGTACTAAAACTGGTTAGCCAATTCCCATATCAACTGTGTTGTACTTGAATTTCCAAATCCATAAATAGGGTTTCTAATTGTTTTAACTGTTTTAACTCAGAGCTACTTAGCAATCAAGAACAAAATGAGGGAGTTATAGCATCTGCAACATTGTGGTTTCTAGGAAATACGTATTTAGTCATCTAGATGACCAAAATACATTTCTCATATGTATTTGATCTTCATCCATGGTTCTTTTTATTTTTTTTTAAAGATTTTATTTATTTATTTGACAGAGAGAGACACAGCGAGAGAGGGAACACAAGCAGGGGGAGTGGGAGAGGGAGAAGCAGGCTGCCCGAGGAGCAGGGAGCCCGATGCGGGGCTCGATCCCAGGACCCTGGGATCATGACCTGAGCTGAAGGCAGACGCTTAACGACTAAGCCACCCAGGCACCCCTTTATCCATGGTTCTTAGCTCACAGCTCTGCAAACCCTTGGAATTTGCTGAGCAATAAGATGGGTGGAAGCATCTTTTGTCATAATACTCGATCTCTTGTCCTCAGCTCCTGAAATCACTTCACAGCCATAAAGGTGAAATGGGTGTCTTGTTATTAATCACCAGCACCTTCATGAGTTTATGTTAATGAGGTGACTTGTAGAGCACCCAAGGATAGGGGCTTGTTGCCAGGTGAACCAACC